CCCAAGTATTAAACGCATGTTTATTTAAAAAGAAACACAAGTGGCAATACAGCAAAAACACATGCACACCTGAGTTCAGACAAAATAGCAGGCAGCTTCTTGCTGGATTGTTTTTTGTTATGTATCACTGAAAAAAGTCAAGTATTTCCAGGCTGTTTCCCTTTGAATCGGTGCCCAAGAGAGACAAACACTCTCACCGAATAAAATAGAGTAGATGAAAGGGCTCTGTGAACTTTGAAGAGTCATGCATATATAAGAGAACTATTATTATTACCTTCTGCCTGGTGCATCTTGAGAGGAGGGCGTAGACACATTGGGAGCTTGACTTTATTAATTCCTCGCAGGAAACTGGGCTTGGCTGAAGGCCAGTGATCTTTAAATCCTTTGAGAAGGATGGTGCCTGCCAAATAGAACCACTTCTGCTCTAGCAACCCCCGTCCCCAGCTAGGAGCTTTGCTGTCACATATTGAGAGACTGGTTTTGTCTTCCTCCCCTCAAGCCCATCACATTCTACTTCTGCTGAGCCTTGCTGTAGCTGTCCCCCACTTTAGCTGCTCCTAATTCTACTTCCGACGTTCTCTCTCTCGGCCCAGGCCCATCACCCCTTCCCACTTCTCATTTCAACTCTTCCTAGCTGCCATTCCGTGGGACTTCCTCAACTTGGCTTATCTCAACGAGAACAATTCGCTTCCCAAACAGTTTTCCAGCGAAGGGCAATTTAGAAAACTCTTCATTTCAAAAAGCCTTCTTTGTCTCAAGATTTTTCCACAGACCTTTTCTGAGTCTGGAGAAGCAGTCCCATGATCCACTTGTACGGATGTCCCTGCGGCTTGCAAGGCCCATATGGCTGTCACATTGAGTGATTACTTAACAGTATAGTCCATTCAGCGCTTCAAGAACTCATCAAATGACAGAGATGGCACTCTCCGACAGGAATGCATTTTAGGAACCTGGTATTTATCTGTAAGGAGACATTGACTTAAAGGACACATGACCATAAAGTAGTCTTTCTTTCAAAATAAGAATACATCAAGTTTTTGTGCTACAATGTGACACTTCTTTCTCTAGAACAGACTGCACTAGAACGGAAGTTTTTAGTGCAGCCCACAGAGCCGGCTAACCCCTCCACTACCACACCTTCCTTTCAGTCTTTTGCCATCCTGGCCATTCCAGATTTTCTTTTGCCCTGAGAACACCCCGTCCTTGCTGACTGGAACGCTGCCACTCTTGCCTTCTCCTCTAGCTCAGTCCCTACTCCCTTATGGCTCAGCTCACCTGTCACTTTTGCCCAAGAGACTCTCTTTGAAAGGGCACCTTGAATGACCCTGATCCTCCCTCATGACCTTCATAAAACTGATGGAGATCAAATAAGACCTCGGATGATGGGTTTGGTATTGAGCTGCCTCTGTTGGTTGCTCCTGAAGGCCAAAGCTGTGGCTTTCCTAGAGAATCTATCAAAACAGTCACCCAGAGTAGATCTCCAATAGCTAAGGCTCCGGTAAGTCTGACATGGCGAATTCTTAGTCACAAGAGGTGATCACAACAATGAAAGCAAACGATTTGGCAGGGGTGGTGCATTCCACAATAGTCAAAAAAGTCTGACATTGTTTCCAAAGGCTAAATGTAGCAGTTTTCAAGTCTGCTTCTATGTTATAATCATCTCCTCCATTCCCCTAATTCCTATTTCAAAATTCATTGTTGAAGTAAATTATAGAACAAAAGCACGCCTCTGTTTTATTAATTTTTTTCTATGTTGTGTCAGGTAGAGTACACAATTAGGACCAAGGGACCCTTCACACAGCTAAGCACCGTACATAACACATTCCTTAGGGGGAGCACAATTCAGTCACTAGACACATTCAGGAATATTGAACCAAATCTCCATGGAAATGGAATTTCCTCTGGGCAAAATATTTACCCATTGCAGGCATATGTTGAGCGTGATTTGCCTGTGAGTGCAGATGGCTTCAGTCATGATACGAAGTCACAGAAGAGAAGAAAGAGGAATACACTCTCTAGGATTTCTTGTTGCTTGGGGACAGAAAGGAGTTACAACACATTACCTGGTTTTCATTTTGCATATGTTGGTTTGATTTTCTAAGTTATTGAATTTGGAAGCCATAAACTACAGCATCAAAACATGTAATTCCCTCTTTACAACTACAGCAACAACAGCAGAAGCAGGTAATTCTATTGATTTGCTCGTCCCGGATAAAGAATGAGATTATATAAAACTAGACTTGTAATTGGGTTATAGAATCCTCTTGGCTCACAAATTACTTATTAGTTCTGCTTGTGTTTTCATGTCCCTATCTTATAGTCCTTTTGCTTTATTGCCAGAGAGAATGCACAGATAATATCCTCTTGTACATCTTTTCTTTACTTGAAATAATAATTAAAAAAGCAAGAAGATACCTGTTAACGGATTTTGTTCTATCATTCTAATTTTTATTTGGTTTACCTTGTCCATTTGCCATTATATATGTGATTTTTTGCTATACATATAATTTTCATTATAGGTAATATGATAAGTAAGCAATTAGTGCAACAGGTGAGATGCAAACAAGGCATTTCCCAGGAAAATAACACTGGCTGGCCAGTGGGAGAGGGAAGAGGGCGTGGACTTTGACATAGAGATAAAAGATTGGCTTCAAGAGCAGAAACACATAAAGCTAAATTTGGATGATGGCGCATGATCAACCAATCTCTTACATTTAGAAAATGCTGTATATGATCATTTCATCTTTTGTAACAAGTTAAAGGATTTGAAGACGCATAGACCTGAGTTTTCTAAAACTGGCTGTGTCCTGTGACATTCCAGAGACAGTAACTTTGAGTACTGGAACATTCCAAAATTTGAAACTATCATGCATTTGTTTATACAATGCAAGTGGATTATTAGTCACTATGAAACACCACAGTAATGTGACTGTCATCTTGATCTCCCTTTCCTCGGACAAATAAATACTGGATGGGGACCAACTTCTCTTAACAATAAGACTAGAAAATTAAAGCTAAAATGGCACATTTTTCCTACTTTTTAGCAATAGAGATGCTAGACAACTTAGTAATTTTAGCCAGTAAAATGAAAAATTATAAAGGTAAGAATCATAAAAATATATTATTCTTAAGTCGCACGTGAGTGTTGATCACATGTTGATATACACGTGTGTGGATACCTCCTCTAACCCTCTCCTCCAAGTTCTTCTTTCTTTTTATATATTCTTTGTGTATTTCACATCATGCATCTCGATTCCATTCATTTCCCTGTCCTTCTGTATCCTCCCTCTGCCACTATAACACCCCCAAATTAAAATAAAAAATTAAGAGAAAAAAAGAAAACAGAAAAATAGGAGAAACCTAGTCATGGAAACTGTAGTGTGACACAGTGAACCACACAGTAAACCCTTTTGCCCATCTATCTTTAGGTGCAAGGGTTCATTGCAAAGGGTCATTGGTCTGACGGAGACCTCTGGTTTCTGCTACAACATTGATGCTTAACTCTCATTGGAACTCACACCTCTTGGATAACCTGTTGTTGCCCTATGACATGGAAATTCTGCAGCTTTGGGTCTGCAGGACTAGCCCCTTCACATGCTCCCACAGATCATAGATGGTGTGAATGTTGGGATGGGCCAACATGTAAATCTGGTACTGGGCCAGAATAATTGCAACGTTGGTCTGCCTACCAGCTTTCCTCCTTTCTCACCACCAGGGTGAGCTCTCCAGCATTACCTCAGCTAGTTCGGCAAGGAATGGAGCCGGGTCTGCTTTCACACCCATAGAGTTGACTCTTCCACAGCTGGACCATCAGAGCTCTACTGTGCTGCCCACATGAGATGCAGGATCCACTTTCCCCAGTGCTGCAGTTGGGAAGGGAGAGGGTCAACTCCTTTGCTCACTACAGGTGGCAGGGGCAAGGGGGGTAGAATATCTTTCCCTTGCCCTCACCCCCACATGGCAGATGAGGGAGATGAGGCCAACTATCTCAGTCTCACACCCTGAGGGCCAGATCACCCACCCAGCCTCTGCAAACATAGGCAGCTCTGTATTGTGCTGCCCAGGCAAGGTGTAGGGTGCAGTTTTTTGAGTGCTGCCTCTGATAAAGGGGAGGGGGTAGCTCCCCCATGCAACCACAGGTGGTAGGGAAAGGGGGCCTCCAGATCATCTTAAGACAACGTACTGCACTGTATCTGTAGCTAAACTGGTGGCCCGCAAGCCCTAGTCCTCCTGTTTCTCCACACGGCACAGGGTCGGCATGGCCATGATGAGTTTTCCAAGGATGCTGGTAATGCAAACTTGGACACTCTTGCCTGTTCAGGAAATATTCTTACCCCTGAGCCATCTCCCCAGAACCTATGAGCAACTGCATTTTTGTCACAGCAAACAGAGTCCAACAAATCAGCACTTTTTAAAAATTCAACAAGTAGAGCTTTAAAAATTGTGAGAATAAAATAGCACTCTTTGGGAAAAGGGATACACTACTGTAAGCATGGGCGTTCTGTGTCCCCTGTGCACTTTCCTTGAAGGACGATCACCCTCAAACAAACAAACATGACCCTTCATTTTCTGCAGCAGACAAGTTAGAGAGTAGAGAGTGGCCTCAACGGGGCAAGCGTTTGCCAGGCAAGCATGATGATCTGGGTTCAGATCAGCAGGTCCCATGTAAAATGTTTGGTATGTGGCAGCTGCCTGTAACCCCACTTTTGAGGGCGTAAAAAGAGGAGGATCTCTGGGTTCACTGGCCAGTTAGTCTGACTGAACTACTGAGTTCCAGGTCAAGGAAGAGACACAGCCTTAAAAACAAAACAAAAACAAAAACAAGGTAGAAAATGAGCAAGGCACCAGAGGTCAACCTCCAGCTGCCACACACTTGCACATGTGTGCACTGCATGAGGCACACAGACAACCATACACACACACACAATCGGCACATACAGCCAAAGACAAACTAATAAACGGTGAAGTAAGAGTTAAAGCTAAATCGATAAGGCATATAAAGAGCTTTATTCCACATCTTCTGTTATATTACAAATATGTACAAGCGCAGTAATAAATTAAAAAGGAGCAAAAGATGCCTGAGTAGAGTTCCTTTCCTCCGGTCGTCTCCCGGAGTTCATCTGATCCAAGGGGTTCATCGGCCACTGCTTCGGCTGCTTTGTTTCCCCAGCGGATCTCAGAGGCACAGAGTGGCACTGCCTCTGCACAGCAGGCAGCGGCGTGGTAATAACAGAAACCCTGGAGAGCATCAGCGACAATCACGAAGTGTTGATGAACATTTGGACGATGCTTTTAAAACTCTGCAAAAACTCTTTGAAGCTTTTCTCCTCCAGTTCTTCACATTCCTTGCAGCCATATTCTGTTATATTCTGCAATCAAGAAGGAAGAATTAGATCAGCAAGCAGAATGCATTGCTTTGTTGGGGTTATTATACTCTTTGAAACACATGGTGGGGGATCTTCAGACATTGTCAAACTAATAGGAAGTTAAGAGCAGCTATGAGAAAGAATCAAGAGATTTGATAGAGGTTGGTTTTTACCAGAGTTGGGTTAAGAACTCTGCAAGTGCATAGGCCATGTATGTTAGACTGTGCTCTTCCTGCTTAAAGCCTATGAGTGGATTATTTGTTTCTACCTTGAAGCCCATACTTCCCTGAATGCTCCATGGCCTCTATGACGTGTCCTTACCTAGCTCATCTTTCAATGGCCTTGAATGCCATGACCTTGACCTTGAGACACCAAGAGAATACTTGCCTTTATACTCCATATATATGTACATATATACATATGTGTATGTATATACTATATGTACACACACACACACACACACACATATATATATATATCACAGACTTTTAGTATTTTTATATTACTATTCTCTAACCATTCCTAGGAAGGATAACCATCTATTTTTCTTTCCCATCAGTAAGCACAAGGCCTAATACAAATGATCTGAACCACTTAGGCAAATGCCATTAACACAGCTTCGGGGACAACTAGAACATTACAAGTGTACCCATCATGAATTAAGATTTTAGAGGTCTTCTGAATTGTGAAGACTGTGCCAGCAAAAATCAAAATTAGGTTTCATATCCATTAGGCTCTTAGGGATCAGATTCCCCAATATTCATCAGGCATAGACTGTATGCCAGACATTGTCATAGGCTTCTACTGCTCTGGACTTGGTCCTGTGAACCATGTCGGAGGGGAAGCAAAGATCCTCACAGACACTGTAAGCTGAAATTCTGCACACGGGTCTCCCAAGCATGCAGTCCTGTTCACTTTTCCAGGACATATGCCAAGCTGTCACCTTGGGAATGGTACCAACATGCAGCCTAAAGCTCAACACTGAGACTGCCCTAGTTACCTTCTGACTTTCCCACCATTAATAAATGGTAATAACATATCACAGGAGTAGTTTAACCACGAAGAGATTCACTTGGTAAGTATCCTGAGAGATGAACATCTGTAAGAACTGTATGTTTTGAGAATCGTAATCAAACATCCAAAAACCCAGAAAGCGTATATGCTCTGAAGCTGACTAACAGACAATTACATGATTTTCAGAGTGTGGGAGGTGTAGGGAAGGGGACAGAGGGTGATGATGGTGTGGAGAAAGCATGGCACACAAGAATAGCTGACATCAATGAGAAGGTGACGTCTGAGCAGACACTAAAGGCAGCCCAGCATTTGGGAGGGAAAGAAAAGCATCTCCATATCATTGTGTGTCCAGTTGTATCTGCCTAAAGATACTCCCTGAGGGCCAATGGCACTCATTCCTGAAGCTCTGTGTAACATACCAGCCTATTGGCTAGCCCTTCCCTACACAAGAACTCTAGTTCCCCTCTACACACATCCTTCCTCTCTTGCTACACTGTACTTAATGACCAACTGGCTGGTTCACTCATTCACTTCCCTCTTTCCTTCATAACCGGTACTCCAGGCTTTAGTCCAGTGTGCTGAAGTACTTACTAGATGAAATAATTTTACTGAGCATGCTCTGATGACAGAGCTTCTTGGTTTCACCTTGTTTCACCCTATGGTTGTGCCATTCAAGCCACAATGAATTCCATGCACTTGAGGCATTTGTGCAGCGCACCCCCGCCGACCACGCGAGTCAGTAGTATTTGCTTCTCATGACCCTCCCTGCTCATGCTGTCTAGGATGCTCCAAAGAACACTTGACTCATTAACACTTTTGATTATTATGATTTTTCATTATTTACTACTTTAGAAGGTGAGAAGCCAGAAGCTGGAGCAGAGCCGCAGCTCTTGTGCCATTAGCTGCACAAGTTGGGACCTGTAGTTGGTACGGGGTGTTCTGAGCGCATCCACATTCAAACAGACATAAAAGACAGCTACATATGAAAAAACGCGAGATTACTCTCAAAGACTGACCCTGAGGATTTCGTGCCTTATCAATCTAAAGACTACAGAGCAGTGACACTAAGAACTAACTCAGTGAATGTGAGCTATCATTTCTGATGGTAAACACTTGACTGCACTGACGTCTCTCCACGGCACCCACACACCTGCCTGCCTTCCCAGCACGACTCTCGCACTAAAGCACACTGGCTGCCACTACTCAAAAATGCCTGCTTACCAACGGAATCAACGAACTTGGGATTCTGTGCATGGCAGCTCTGACTCCACTTCTGAAGGCCACTGCGCTGAAATCAGATTCTTTCCTGTGGTCCCCATAGGAGAATCCGCTTACATATGAATGTTTTATCCCACGTGATCCCAAACCATCAGATGCAGTTCACTATGGCGGGTATATAACTCACCTTGTTAGAAGACAGAGAGCTGTTTGCTAGTAACATCACGTTTTCTATTGTTCCATTAAGGTCCACGTTACTGTACTCGTGTAAAATAACCCGTAACTCCAGCAGAAAGCAATTCATTGCAGTAATTTTGCAACTGGGCTAAAAAATAAGAATTGCAAAGAGCCAATTTGAAACAAACAAGCAAAATAATTTTCCCATTTTTGATTTTGACATTCAAAAAACTTAAAAAAAATCAATCTCATCTCATTATCTTACAAAGAAACATAATCACCATACTACTTAGTTTTAACTATCAACCCAACACAACCTAGAAGACTGTCTTAATGAGGAATTATCTACAGGTTAACCTACATGTTCCTACAGGTTCAAGACCCAAATGACTGTAGGCGACACCATTCTGTATGCAGGAGGTCCTGAGTGTTGCTACAGTGAAGAGAGTTAGCTAACAACAAGCAAGCAAGTTCTCCTGCCTCTGCTCTTGTCTGCTAGTTGGATGCTTTCAGTCCCTGACCTGATTTCCCATAATTCCGAATGATAACTTGGAACTATAAGCCAAGTAAAGACTTGCTTCCCCAATTGTCTTCTGTCTATGTACTAGTAAAGGATTTTATTTATGGAGGAAGCTACTTTTCTCCCACTTGGTTTTAAAATCAAAACTAAAACCAACAACAATGAAGAAGGGTGGTACTATTGTACGGAAGAAAACGGGTGCCAAAGGCCACCATTCCTCACTGGGCATGGCTCTTGCTCTCTGGGGGTGACACAGCAGTCTAAGAGTGACAGGGCATCCATGGAAACATTGAGGGTCAGACTGTGTGCTCACATTTGAAGGAGAGATAACTGCCAGTCATACCGTCCCGACAGTTCCCTGCAGAACGAATTCCAAGAAACTCAAGGGGGATAAAAATAAAACCAAAGCAAAGGCAGTACCCAATCGTGGGCTGGCCAAACCACAAAGGGATTGTGGGCAACAGGAAAATATATTTCCTGTAACAGTTCTTTTACAAAACCCTAAGTGAAAAGAATGAATAAATGAATAAATAATAAATAAATAAAACAAAAGAAAGGAAAACATTTAATGGGATTCAACAGTGATTTATACTAGGATGTGCCTGAATCTAAAGTATAGTCAGAATAATTCATTGAGGGCTATCTGATCAGGAAAAAAAAAGAAAAAGAAAAAAGCACAGAAAACCAGAAAAATACACTTTAAAATCAGAAGAGGGGTCACCCATGTGTCTGGTAAATATCTAGTTGTCTGATATGTCCAGGCTCCACCTTCTCCTCAACACACCAAGAGCAGGGTGCGCAAACCTTCCACCTCAGAGAAGTTACACTTGACAGTTTTGAACACATAGTAGACAGTTTAGTTTTGAACACACAGTAGGCAGTTTGATTTGGGTTTCAGTTTCACTTCTGTCTCTGTCACTGTGATAAAATACTTTGATAAAGAAAAACTTCAGGTTGAAAGGATGTGTTAATGCAAGTTATGGTCTGTCAACAGGAAGGCCAAGGCATGAGGAGCGTAAGTGGTCAGATCCGAGGGGCAGAGATGGTGCCGATGTGCCCATCTGGCCTTCTCTGCCCTCAGTCCATTGTCCAGTAAGTGAAGCACTGTAGGAAATCCGACAGCCAGTAGCCTTTAAGAGGCCACACTCAAATGGGTGCATAACTCAAAGGCTACTGGCTGTAGGATTTCCTACAGCAGTGAAGTGGTACTGCCTACATTAGGAGTGGATCTTCCCACGACAGTCAATCAGATTAAGAAAAATAGACCATAGTCATACCCTCAGGCAAAATTCATTGATATTCTTATGAGGCTACTTTAAATTGTGACTCGTTAACATTTTAAAATAAATTAACCTTCACATATTCCAAGCAGTGGCATTCAGATCTATCCCCTGGCTTTAGGGACAGTCTAGAGTGAAAGAAGGAACCACCTGACAAACTGCCAACAACCATCATTCTAATAAAGCTAGTTGTTATTTATAAGTTCTAGTACATTATTTCAATTATGTTTTTATCACGCAGAAAATAAGGAAAGGACTTCTTACAAGTGTAGAGATTCATGCAAAACACACAACATGGATACCCTCAAGCAAGCTCAGTAGACGTTATTGAACTTGGAAACATACTATAGCACTGGGAATAATGGTACCGTGGAGACATTTAGATTGAATTATTTAGCATAATTCTAGCATCTAATCCTATGCTTACCTAACTGCATCACAGAAACAAACAAAAGATTTTGTTTGACATTGATGGAAAGGTATTTTTTTTTCCATTTTGATTTGGCACCATTACAAAAGAAGCATTTACGTCCCAAGTCCCACAAAATTCAATGATCCCTTAGAAATGTCATGGGTCAAACACTCTGAGAACCCACTGTGAGTTAGATTTTAGAATTGTAACTATTTCAGCGACTTTATGGGATAACTGGAATACAGCAATTCTGAAAAACATACTCACATGGAAGTCACTGTCTGTGTATAAAGTGGCATCAATATGGACAGACTGAAAGAGAAAGGGGGTAATATGAAAGATTAGGTAAGACAACAACTTCCCGTAAACAATAAATTTAGGCCCTTAACTTAATTTTGTATTTTGCAATAATTTTAAATTCTAGCAGTTGCAAGAGAACATATAGTAAGGCGCTCTGACCCCTTCTCTGTGTTACTCTGCTGGTCCTTGCTTGACCACAACACAATTTTCCAACAAGGAATTCATATTTATGTAACATTTATTCTTTCACCAGATTTTAACCCCCCGTGCAATTCTATATATACTTTTATCATTTCTAGAATGCAAAAGAATTAGAACCATAAAGAACGCAATGTTACAAGACTGACTTTTTAAAAAATAATGCTTTGGGAAACTGTGTTATAGGAAAAAAAAAAACAGCAGAATGTCATGAGCTCTCTTCTGCTCCTTTATCTAATGTGGGAGGCCCTTCTGTCTATGTGTTGCTTTTATTGGTTAATGAATAAAGGAACTGCTTTGGGTCTATAGTAGAGCTATAGGGGAACAGAGCTAGGTGGGGAAAACTAAACCGAATGCTGGAAGGAAGAAGGCAGCGTCAGAGAGATGCCATGGATCTGCCACTGGAGATAGACGTGCTGAAATTTTGCTGGTAGGCCACGACCTCATAGTGATACACAAATTAATGGAAATGGGTTAAATTAATATTCAAGAGTTAGTGAATAAGAAGTTAGAGCTAATGGGTCAAGCAGTGTTTTAATTAATACAGTTTCTGTGTGATTATTTTGGGTCTAAGCTAGCCGGGTGACTGGGACAAACAAGTGACTTCCTCCAACATTTATCGATTCCAGTTCCATCCATTAGTAATATCCTTCAGATATTCGGTACATTTGTTATGCTTGATGAGTGAACATTTGTACATAGCTACAATCTGGGTGTTTAATCACCTGAACCTTTTGGTTCCATGGTGGAACTGGTGAAACTTCTGGCCAAAGGATCTAGGAGAGGACCACAGGGCCCTGGAATATGACTTTGAAGTATTCATTAGGACTTTCACCTCTTCATTTTTCCTTCGTTTTACTTTCTAGACAAAATGTGAGCAACTTGCTTTGACACTAGAACTGTCAGCCCCACCAGAGAGCTCCAAATCATTGGTTTAAAGTCATCAGTCAAAATAAACCCTTTATGTTTTAAAATTAATTATCTTGGTGTACTTTGTTATAGTAGCATATGCTGATCGCTACCACTGTGATAGAGAAGAGTTAACGGACTTTGATGATACAGTGGCAGGTATCCACCATTCTGATACCACACATTGGAGTTGTATTGTGTTACAGAGAACCCATATTCTGCCTGCTCATCCTTCTCTCCTTATTCCTTCATTTATTTATTTATGTATTTATTTATGTGGTTTTTTTTTTTGAGACAGGGTTTCTCTGTATAGCTTTGGATCCTGTCCTGGAACTCTCTCTATAGACCAGGCTGGTCTCGAACCACAAAGATCTGCCTGCCTCTGTTTCCTGAGTGCTGGGATTAAAGGCATGTGCCACCACCACCCGGCCCTTCTCTCCTTTCTAAACCCTGTGGCCCAGGCATCTTTGTATTTGTCACAAGGACAAGCAGCTGGAATCCCACAGCAGGAAGCCTCTTTACTGGCCTTCTTAAATACAGTGCATTCACTGTATGGTGTGCTCTTGGGGTGTTTGCTTCTTTGGTTTGGCTACTTACTTCTTTGTCACTTGACTCTACAGGTGCACCAAAATGAAGCCCATGGTGAATAAAAGTGGTGAGAGATTTGTTTTGAGTCCTGGGGAAAAGCTGTCTTTCACTCACTAGCAAGGAGTAGTTTGAGGTATTTGAGTACATATACATAAAGTTGAAGAAGATGCCCTCCGTGTCTCCTCTGCTGAGGTAGTTTGTCTTGAACTAGTTCTACAGCAGTTCACTGAAACTGTTAGAATTTCATATGAGTTGGACAGCTTAAATAAAGGCGTGTAATTTTCTCAAATTCTGCAGGCAATCAGTCCCAGAAGGATGTGCCAGCAATGGTCTCCCAAGTCTTCTTCTGAGCCTCATCAAGCTTATCTTGTCTTCTCTCAATCTCCTCAGGGTATCTTCCTCCTGTGGGTAATTGCATGGTTTTCCATCTTCTTAAGGACATTGGCCACATTGGATTCACATCATCCTAATGACCCTATTTTAACTTAAATAACTCTTTAAAGATCCTGTATGAAAACACAGTCACACTAAATGTTGTAGACAGTAATTAAGGAAGGGAAATACATTCTGTACAAGAGGTGCTGTATTAATCGTGTCTTTTCTAAATCAACTGATATGATTTGCTTTTTAGGCTCCTGATGTGTCAGGTTGGATTGATTGATTGATCTTCAAATATGAAAATATTTGCATACTTAGAATGAATCCCTTATATTGATGATATTCTTTTTATATTATACACTGAAAGATCTGAATGGTAATTTTTTAATTGAGGAATTTTATACTAAGGGTATGAGAGTCCCTTGTCTTGGTATCATATTATACATCGGGGTAAGATCAGTCTCCCAAGCTGAGTGGGAGGGGCTTCCTTCCTCCCAGGCCCGGAAGAGACTAGGAACATCATTACATAGATGGTTACTTGAACCATCGATTTCATTATTGCTATGTTTGGGGTGTTTGTGTTTGAAGAACTGGCCAATTTTCTGTAGGTCATTGGTGCAGAATCTGAAGTTACAACAAGATAACAAGGGAAATGATAATAAAGTTGATTACCACAGATTCTGGGTCAAGAGCCACCAGCCACCCCAGGTACTGGCGCTGTGTTTCCTCTCTCTTATTATTAGATGTTAATTAATTTGACTGATTTTTTTCAAATTAATACCCTTTTGCTTCACTGATTTACCCACCACTTTCCTGCTCTCAGTTTCATTAATTTCTTCTCTAAGATCAACTTTCTTCCTCCCTCTACTTGTGTTGAATTTATTTTGTGACTCCTCTAACTTGGGGAGATGTAACTTAGGTTGCTGCTTTGATCTTAGCACTTTCCCTCATTTCTAGCACATTGGTCTAATTTTTAAGTTTCCTCATCCTTAGCAGCTCACATCTTAACAGACTGAACTTCATTTTACTCAGTTTTATGCATTTTTTCCTATATTTGAGAATCAGTCTTCAACCCCTGTGCTATTTAGAAATATATTATGTAACTTGTAAATTTGGGCAACTTCACCAATGTATTTTTTTCACTTTTTCATCTACATTTTGATTCTATTGTGTTTTAAACATACTTTATGCATGATCAGTTTTGGTGAGATTCATGAACCTGACTTTGTGGCTGAGAATATATTTATTTAGTCTTTCAGCATTCTATGGGAATTGCTGAAAGTTTGTTCTGATGCCATTGAGTAGAATGTTTCATGCATAAAGTAAATCCTATTAATTTGTTTTCTCATGGTTTCTATCTTTTGCTTAATAGTTTAGTTAGTTATTGGGCGGGAGACAGTGAAATCCAGAACTGTAATCATAAATTTGTTTTTCCTTTGAGCTGTTAAATTTTTGTATCACGAATTTTGAGACTCTGTTGCTCAGTGCATATATATTAAGAATCAATGTTTCTTCTTCGTGAATTTTCTTTTGTCATTAACGTTGCTCTTGGAGTTAGCAGTTATATTTCTCATCATATTGGCTTTACTTGATACTAATTTAAGACTAATAATGGTTTTGATTGTGACTTCCTTCTTCTTGGTATGATTAATGACTTTTCCTTGTAGCTGGGTATGATAGCTATTATACTGGGAGATTCTTGTTCTACTTAAGTACTCTGTTTGAATATGCAGTCAGTCACCTATTGAGATGTTTTGCCTGTAGTCTAAACTGCTACTGTGAGCTATGATCCTAACAGCATCTTAGTGTTCAGGACCTCTACAGACTTTCCATTGTATTCCTCACTTGTTCAGACCAGGTTCCCTGGCTTCTGTTGGAAAACACTGGCCCATGGGGACAACACATACCCCCAGTACTGTCAGTTAGAATGATATTCCTGACTTTCCTGACGAGATTCAGTAGAGCCTGCTCCTAGGATACTGTTGCCTCTAGGCAGGAGAAGAAAATCTACAATGCCCAGAAATGGTATCTCATTCCAGAGCTAATGTCATGTTGGGTCCCCTTCATGGAATCTGCTTTCCAGATAAGGAGGGAGCATTTCTGATTTATGAGGAATGGAGCTCCTTAGTTACATTGCTTAGGAATTGCATTGACTTTTGAATCCTTTAGTAATTCCTTGAAAAATGTTGTAAACTTTTTTGAAATTTACTCTTCTTCTAATTCCCTTCATGTCCGCACCCCTTTCCTATCCACCCAGCTTTGTGTCTTCATCTTTTCTTTCCTTTTTCCTTTCCCCATGAAGTGCCACCCATATACTGTTGCTAGGTGTGAGACCCTGCACTGGAGCTGGATGACCCTCCAGGGCCCACCCTTAAAGAAAACCCGTTCTCCCGCTCTCGGAGACTACTAATTGCTATTTCCTCGGCTTGGAGTGAACGTCATGTCAACCTCTGCCCTTATGGCGGGATTTTATTTGGCTTGAGATTATGTGTGTCTTGAGGATGCTATCATAACTGCTAGAATTTTATTTGGCTTGAGATTGTGTGAATCTTGAGGATGCTATCATAACTGCTGTCAGTTCCTATGGATAGCTGCTCTGTTGTGTTGAAAAACATTGTTTCCTTATAGTCATTTTCCTGCCTCGGACTCTTACAATTTTTCCAATAACTCTTCCAATAACTCTTCTTCAAAGAATCCCACGGGGAAGAGGGTGCATCATATAGATGTTGTGTTTAGGGCTGAGCATTCTGTTGTCTCTCATGCTCTATTCCTTGACCAGTTGTGGATCTCTATGGTAATCACCATTTACCACAAAAGAAGCTTCTCCGATGAGAGTTGGGGAATGTGCTACTCTATGGGTTTAATGATAAGTCATTAGGAATCATTTTCACGCTATACATTTAGCAGAATGATAGTAACAAGTTCTTCACCAGAGTCTAGGGCCGGTCTAGCCACAGGCTCTTAACTATGATAAAGGTGTAAGTTTTCACAATAATTCAAACTTGAAAGAAATGCCTTAGAAGGTTTTGCAAAGTTCATGTGTTTCTTCACAAGTATTTTTATTTCAAATGGTATTATTTCATGGGAGCTTATAGCAAAACGTAAGAGACACATACCTTATAGCCATCATATGTTCTTCTGGGGGGAAATGACATCAATTATCTTTCCCACACTGACTCCTACATACCACAATAGCAACCAGCCATGCAAGATATGGCTGTGGCAAGACTATTTTGGATAACTAACAGATTTTAAGAAACCTCATGCCTAGAACTAAAATCTTGATCAAAAGCTCATGGCTGGTAGGTCATACACCTTAGGGTAGAACCTGCTACTGATATTTTCTTAATGGCCATGCTATCAAATTACCTTCTATATATCTATGGTTGTATTCACAGGCCTGGAATCCTACCAGTCTTGGCCACAGAGACTTCTTTTGTTTTCAGTGGGAAGCAACCAGTGCTGAGGCATAATTAGTCAAAGTGCTACCAAGAAGAAATCGATTACTCTGCACTAAATGAGATATCTTCATCAGCCATACTCCCTGTCCTGCCAAGGCTCAGAGCATGCTGATGAAAAGGAGGCAGAGAAATCTGAAAGCCAGAGGGTGAAGAGGAGTACAGTGAAACACTGTCTTCTCGATGTGATGTGGCTGCCACGTGCATGAACTCAGAGTGCGTTGCTCCCTGTACAAGATCTAGTCTGCCAAGATGACCGCGGAGATGGGGATGCGCTCTCCTGGTTCTGCTCCCATGGTACCTGCTGGTACTTAGTAGCTGCTGGGGGAGGGAGAATTATTCTCTTTTGATGGCATTTTCACCTTTATTTTCCTGTGTTCCTGTGGGATGGCCACGTAGCCATGTGCATACGGCAACACTAATTGGACTTAGTGGGTCATCAAAAATCAAGAAAAAAATACACAATGTAGGGCATGGACACAGTGGAAAGATAGAAGAGAGGAACTTAAGAGGAGCGAAATGGGTAGTGGAAATGATCATATTTTACTATATTCATGTATGAAATTCTCAGAATAAAAATCACTATACAAGTAAGAGATATCAAATATGAACTTTAAACAAAAAGAGAAGAAAAATGAATACTCACTTTAATAAGAGACTCAATATATTCTAGATCACTCAGTACATCCCTCCAGTTGGCCTCTGTTTTAGGGAGACCTACACTGACACAGCTGGAAGAGAGCACAAAGACAGGCGTTTGAGAGAGGATGCTGTTGTCTGACTGAGGATCTAAGCAAGAGCATGGCCAAGCTCGTTTATATTCCCACTGGGGGAAAAGCCCAGCCTTTTCTGTCTCTGCACTCAACTGCTCAGTGGGTGAATGGAAACATCAAATATACAGTACACCTTTGATACTCTGAGCTAATTCGAGGAGGACTGTCCAACCTTGAGGATTAGAGAAAGGCTAATTAGATCATTTGTAAGTAACCACACACAGTTGGTCACAGTGAAACAGGAAGAACATCGGATGTGCGGCATGCTCAATAAATGTTCTTGAAGTACAAGTTCCATGAGAGTTTGGGGGCTAGTAAGTGTAAAACCTTAAGCACTGATCTTTTCCATGTGACAATTGTGAGGGGAAATGTCCCTTACAGCATGGTAACCATGCCTCTTTCACTGTGCTCACACTATTCTGATGCTAGGACTATTTCAGAGTCACTGAAGACTTAATATAAGATTTATGATCACAAGTTTATTCTCTTTGGTTAAAACTGAAATTTAGTATCCAGAATAAAAAACACATTGATGAAGTGATGGTCAAGTGATTCATTATGCCTCAGAAAACTCAGTTATTCTCAGAAGGGTCATGAACAACGTATGTCACCAATGAGAGTCTGTTTAAGGGGAACAATTCACATGCATGATATCAGTAAATGGGATATTTATAGCAAGAAGCTTGATTGCTTTGGGGGATAGAATATGGAATACTGCCAAGGTGCAGAAATCCTCAGTTAGTTAAGTTCCCTAAGCATCTCCACAGTCACCGGCATGTCCAGCCCTGAATGGTGAAGACCTCTATACTAGCAAACCGAACACAGTGACTTTCCAACAGGAAGAAATTCAAGGACAAATGAGCATGCTGTTGACATAGTAACAGTTGTAATTAAAAAGGAAATTACCCCAAAATGAAGACATGAATGCCAGCCTCAGTTAGGAAATGACTGTTTAGCAGGAAACACAAGTAGCACGAGATGGATGTATTCCTCATATATGGTTTCTGGAAAACATAATTGCAGATGATATGGTGAAATACCTCTAGTACAAACATGTAAAACTGCATTTTGTCGTATTTTAGGTGCAAAATTGTAGCGCTGCCTTTTCACAATCAATAATCTTTAACAAAAACAGTGAAGGTTCAGTGAATCTTCTGCTTTTCTCTAATCTCCAGACTCTCCAGCAGCTATTTCTCCAGCTGAAGGTCAATGATAAAATGACATTCTTAGCAATTGACACACACCTCCTTAGGACCAGTCAGCTCTTCTGTCATCACGGAATTCCTCTCACTGTCTCTCCTTTTAATAGACCACACAGTACATGCAGTCCAGATTAAGAATGTGAATCAACAGCAAGCAACTAATTGTACATTAATTTCATGCAAGTATATGGAAATCAAAACATATTATTATCACATGGAGAAAAACTGGATAGAAATGAAACCAGTAAAGTTATTTGGGCCAGATAGTGCATGCCATCAATCCTGGAACTAGAGAGAGAGGACATGAAATCCTGTGAGGTCGAACCTGGTCTATATTGTGAATTCCAGGCTACCCAGGGCTACGGAGTGATGAGACCCTGTCTCAAGAAGTGTATCCTTTCCTATTAAAACAGCCATGACATAAAAGCTTTTCCTGGTTAATTAGAAACTTGTTTGTCTGAGACAAACCCAGAATTGAGTCTTTGACCTGACTCTTTAGTATTTTCAAAGCTTTTTACAGTTACAGAGAATAATGTCAGCCAATATTTCAGCCACCAGAAGACTGTGTTCTATTTAGTCTCTGCTGAAAAGATGCATAACACCAGACCTTGACCTCAAAGGCATAACTTCTGTGGTAAATAGACACTTGGAGAACAAGAGAGGCTGAGCCAAGTAAAATAATGCATTACCAATGGCATGGAGAGAACGGGCAGACTGTTAGTCTTGTTCAAAAACGCATATTACTTATCTTTAAAATAAAGACAAACCATGGGAAAACAGATGTCTGTCCAAGCCAGAGACGTTTAGAGAATAATCATACCATTTATTATAAAATCCAGTTGAGATGAGGGTGACCTTTTAAGAAATATGCTATTTTTGTCTGCTTTTTCCTTACCAAAATTTTCATTACTTAATGCCCAGGTAATTGCTTAAGTGGTGAAGAGCTGGCTATGGCGATGGGCTTCCAGCTGCCATCCATGCAGAACGCCTTCTGGAACACAACCAGGGTAAAGGATGACAATCAAAACACACGCGGGCAACTCGGGGACAAAGAGGGAAGGACCTGGTGTTTACGGAGCATCTACTTCCCAAAGGAGATGCTCCTTAACACACACATCACATCAAACAGTCCGGAGAGCATTTGGGAAACCTGATCTGGCCTCATGACTGCCCAAACTAGCGATCCAAAGATCAAAACCCTGTCTTCCTCGCTGTGTCCCAGATCTAACAAACTTCAGGGCCATAGCAATTAGAGTTAGAGACATCCAAATACGTAGACTCAAATAGCCACCAGGTGATGATCTAATTTACAGTAACAGCTAAATCTGCAGGCTTCAAATAGATCTTAGGTCTGCTCTTCAAAATAATTAATTGGAACACCATCTACACATTTCCTAAATAACAAAATTATGTTTATTTACTAAATAAAAGTACGGGAACATGTGATGGTAAAACATCCCCACTGAACTCCATTTCATTAAAATATTCAAAATACATCAAATGTAGACAGTCTTCCTAGACTTAAAATTGATACATATTAATTGAACTTGCTGATAAAAATGTTAATATCTTTGGTTAATATAATATATCACAATTAATTATCTTGATTTTTATACTCTAAGATGCTTCCTAATGTGTAAATATTTGCTGTAAATTATGCACAGATTATTAGCCTTATTTTTACATTGTGTGTGTATGCCTATGTGTGTCTGTGCATATCTGTGTGCGTGTGTCCGTGTGTCTACATGTATATCTGTGTGTTTCTGTGTATGTGTCTCTGTGAGTGTGCATCTGTGTGTGTGTCTATGCGTGCACTATGCACATGCCATAGTGCATGTTTGGAAGTCAGGGAACAAATTGTAGGGTTCCCTGTCTCTTTCCACCACTTGGGTTTCTGCGATCAAACTTAGGTCATCAGGCTTGACAGCAAGTAGCATCACCTACTTAGCCATCTTGTCATCCTGTATAATGATAATGTATCATTCTTAAAAGGAAAAAAAAACTAATATTTATTGGGACATAAAACAAGATACTAGAGGTGTATGGGCAATGCCATTTTTCTGTGCAGTCTTGACCCAGTGTTCCACGTGGCTCTGGCATTAGCCTTCCCTTCCAACTATAGTTCATATATTAAGCTTGCGTGTGCAAGGACCAGAATGGCTGAGCCTTATTTAAGCCTATGGTTGATGTTTGCATTCAAAACCTAAGTCACCTGACTCACATGGAAAGCTTAAGCAGGGAAGACTCCAGAGGCATCTAGGTCTCCCCAGTCAGCCTCCACCAACCCTTGTCATTACTAGGTCTTCCCAGTCAGCCTCTGTCAACCCTTGTCTGTTGAAGGAGCTGCAGGCTGCGTTCCTGCCGCCTGGGTCCCAGCCACCTAGCTAGCTTATGTCCCAAAATAACAACACACAAACTGTATTCATATAAACACTGTTTGGCCCATTTCTATTAATGTGTGTGTAGCACCACGAGGTGGTGACTTACCAGGGAAATTCTAGCCTCTGTCCATCTTGGGTCAGAGCTTCATCGCATCTGCCCTGGAGCGGAGAGGCTTGGCGTCTCCACTCACTTCCTCTTCCTCCCAGCATTCTGTTCTGTTTACTCCACCCACCTATGTTCTAACCTACCAGGCCAAGCAGTTTCTTTATTAATTAACCAATGACCTTTCTCCATCAATTGTCTTTACTAGGTCTTCCCAGTCAGCCTCCACCAACCCTTGTCTTTACTTTCTGACTTATACCTCAGTAGTGCTTGATTAACTTTTCCTCACATCTCCTGCTGTTCTTTATCTGGGAAAGTGTTCTGCCTGTAGTCTTTTTGCTAAGGACCACACCTTTCCCATTCCCCAGTAACAGGAGCTTATTCTATTCTGTCTGCTTGATCCAGGCATGGTAACCTGCAAGTGACAGACAACCTGGAACAGAGAGCTCGATTTTAAACTGTGCACGACAAGTAAGTGGCTATTGGAAGAGCAGACCAGAGAGGAGTGAGAAGCTTGTATGTGTTAAGGGCTGTGAAATAATACACATGGGCTGTTTCTTTCTATATTGCAAGTCTTCATAGCAAAGTGTCATTCTGATCCTAGCTTGAAAATTCTATAAGATGTTGGCTTATTGCTGACATCTGAAATAGTGTGACCTTGGGGAAGTCACCTGAGCGAGGACATGTGCACCCGACCACTGTGTTCACACAGCAGTGAGTCATTTTCCTAACAGCGCAGCAGAGGGTGATACAGTGGGCATGCTGTAACTGCAGTACAAATCATAGTCATTTTCCAACAAGTGCCAGGCAAGAAGTAACTCCTATTAAAGTTTTATACTTTTGGTCCTAATTACATCAATATCCACTACTGCTTGAAAGCAGGAGCAGATAATGAATGGGGTTGGCTGTAACCCAACTCAGCTTCATTACCAAACTAGGTGGCTGATGCCTCGGACTCACCAAACACCTCTTGATGGACAAATACTTGGCTTGCTGGCAATGCCTGGCTCCTGCTGATCCCTTATTCCATCCTCATTTAAACACAGCTGAGAAAGTCATGTCTTTTGATGTCTTGGTGCACCTTACACTGGCAATTTAGCAATAACTGTTGTCTAGTTGCCCTTGGGAAGAATTAGTGGGATTCTATAGTAAACCTACCCAGTTCCCATTAGAGTGAGTCCTTATGAAAAAGCCAGCCTGGCTTATGGTTTCACCATGTGCCCTATCCTTCTTGTGTGCATTTTCACCATGGTGAAGCCACATACAACCCAAGTAGCACCGTCACCAAGGCCAAGCTAATAAGGCAACTTGGTTTTGCACTTTCAGCTCTAGAACAGTGAGTCAAATATACCTCTTTTCTTTAGAGGTGTCCAGCCTTAGGGATGTTGCGATAGAAACAGGAAATAGACTGGCACATGATTCTAAATCTTACAGTCCATCATAATACAGCAAAAATAAGTGACAAGTCAAGATTTTTCATGCTTTTAAAATATCACTTCACATAAAGATATATGGGCATATACACATATATTAATGAAATAAGTTAAGGCTTTTGGGAATGATGAAAATGAGATCAGCTGCTCTGTTAACAAAACTATTTCCAGGATAAACATTACCCATGTAAGACTGAAGTGCCCAGTAGCAAGCATAAGGTTCGGGACCGCACAGTTGTAAGCACTATCCAATAAAGAACAATTAAACAAAAATTAACTTTAAATTGATATAAAATAAATATAAAACACTTTAGATAGTTTGTCGTTTACAATAGAGAGCACACACAGGAGGCATATGATAAGTGGACTTGTCTAGGTTTATTTTATTTTTTGATATTTTACAGAAATGTTTTCAAAAGCTACTTTCATAAGTGTTCTTGAAAAATTCCAGCTAAACCAATTCTGTGGGCAGACATGCTGGACAGCTTCTTTAGAAAAACATAACAACAAAACCTAACCAACTGTCCAAAAACAGTCATTAGGATATCTTACTCCAGAGATACCCTAAAAGCTCTTTATTCAAACCCTCACAAAGGAAGAAGAAATTCTGTCAAGGCATTCTGCATGGGAAGAAAGATGGAAATTATGGGAGAGGGCTAAAAATTATAATATATAACCCAAAAGGAGTTCCAGAAAGAAACAGAAAGAATGGAAAAGATGAAGAAACCAAAAAACCACAATAGGAAACTTCAAGGAAGTAAAAAAATAAAAAAAAAAAAAACACAGGCATTCACACTGAAAGAAGATAAAAGGGGTAAATAAACAATAAGCAATTTAAAGGATATACGTGTTCACACAGCCAGTTGCTTAAAGGCAAGCAGCACAGAGACCTGATGATGCTGTACAAGACCAAGAAATTCAGCTTCAACATCAACATCCTACCTTAACCAGTGCTCATTGGGGAGAAGGCGAGCAAAGCACTCTCTTGTCAGACCTTAGAAGAAGTAAGAACTGGGGCTGGGGAGATGGTGCAGAGGTTAAGGGTACTTAGATTGTGCTGTGGGACAATAGTCTGTATCCTGTCAATTATATTTTAAATAAATGCTATTGGCCAGTAGCCAGGCAGGAAGTATAGACGGGGCAACCAGGCAGAAAGTGGAGGAGGGACAATGAAAACAGGAGAATTCTGGTAAAAGGACACATTCTGCAGTGGTGACCCAGCACAGAAGAAGTAAGATGTGACTGCCTCACTGAATAAGGTACTGAGCCACGTGGCAAACATAGACAAGAATAATGGGCTAATATAAGTTGTAAAAGTTAATAAGAAGTCTGAGCTAATGGGACAATCAGTTTATAAATAATGTAGACCTCTGTGTGATTTTTTGGGGGACTTAATGATTGTGGGAACCGGGCAGGACAGAAACCTCTGACAACAAGATTGTCAGCATACTTATGCAGAATTCTGGTAATTATGTACATTCATAAAACCATCACAGCCACTATAACAGACACCATATTATAAAGACAAAAAAATCATTCCTCATGTGCTCCATCCTTAGCTCTAATGTGAGGCCCTACTGACTTACCCATGAACACTTACTACAACAACAACAGGAAGCAAAGGGCATGGGTCGTTGCCATGGGAGACAAAGTGTGAAGAAAGGAAGGCATAAGTGCATTCCAAGGTTACCATTTTTATTTAGGATATTTTAAGCTGATCAATTGAAAGAATCAAGAGAAAACTTAACTGTTCGGGGGGGGGGGAGCCAATTTCACCCAGAAGTAAGCCGAGTGAACAATGAAAATGGACTAAATAGATTTTTATCCCTGCGTATCTGAGATATCTCATGCCATCAGCTGTATTCATAAACCAAAGGAGAAAAGCCATTTATATGGCTTTGTAGGTAAAGAAAATACTTATCAGTTAACATAAATTCTTAAAAATGGAAGTCAAAATATGCTCTAAAGATGGCAACTAGGAAACAAACGAACAGGTTCCAGCGGATGTGACTAGGTCTTGGCAGCTTAAGGAATGGGGGGAGTGAAAACATAGTACAATGGCCTAAAACCATGA